TATGTCAGATAGAATGCCAGAAGATATGTCAGAATATATGCAAGAAGATATGCCAGATAGAATGCCAGAAGATATGTCAGATAGAATGCCAGAAGATATGCCAGATAGAATGCCAGAAGATTTGCCAGATAGAATGCCAGAAGATATGCCAGAACATTTGCCAGAAGATATGCCAGATAGAATGCCAGCTAGAATGCCAGAAGATATGCCAGATAGAATGCCAGAAGATTTGCCAGTAAGAAAATCTATACATGTCATGGTGGGGATCACACGAAGTAAAGTAATTTGTATTGGGGTACCCAAATTTGACCCATACCCATATGATAACGATATTATCAATTATCACAATAGTATCCATATTACAATTACCAGCTGAGCAGTGTTCAAAACTCTCTGCCGTTTTAGTTGTTGGATAGGAATTCCCTTAATGGATTATGTTTGTGTCCAATTTACTGGCTAGTATAATCCCCTATGCTCATCAACTAACCGGGGTTTAGCAGCGGTCATATAGTCATAGAATGTCATAGACCAGCTTGCTGAATCCATATGAATAAAACTAATGAATTGACCAACCACTAATCAACAATAAGGGGAATTCCTATGAACCAACCACTAAAACCAACATAGCTCAACCAATATATTTGCTAACCAATATATGGGATACTAATAAGGGTTTTATCAACCAAAACCACGAAAATAATAATTAATCTCATGGTTGATCATTATATTGGTTAGTATAATCCATGATAATCTAATGATTCTAATGATTCTAATATTCAGTATACTGAATATCATCAATAATGGATTCATTAGAAAAAACAATAAATTATAATTATTATCCATGATAATCCATAATAATAATAACCAATATCGAATCCCCTTCTATAATCAACCACCCCAGACACCCCACCTGCAGCCGCGCCAAGATTTTGGAGGTGAACTCAGCTGCATGGCCCAGACCCACAAGCAGCACCTGTGCCCAGTGTTGAAAGCCCTTGGAAGGATCGGAAAAAGTGGGAGTTTAGCGTGAAAATTCACATTTAACTAAGGACAATTAGCATTTAACTAGGGAAAATGAGGATTTAACTAAGGAACATGGTGATTTGACAAAGGAACATGAGGATTTAACCAAGGAAGATGAAGATTTAAATAAGGACAATTAGCATTTAACCAAGAACATTGGTGATTCAATTATGAACATTGGGGAGGAAAAAACATGGATTGGATTTATAGGTGGATCATCAGCAACAACATCAATTTCTGATTTGTATCTGGCTGATTGTTTCTAGTGACGTCTTTGCCGCCCAAACCATCAATTTTATGGTCTCAAATCATACGTGGTTGGTCTCCATTTCCCACTTCATCCCATTTTGTGGGTTCAACCCCCAATTTCACTCGTGAATCAAACTCGCTCGCTTGTTTTCCCTACAGGCAGGCGCACTATAGTTGCAAGCTGGTTTATAACCCATGCATTGATAAATATATCCTGAATCCAATAAAAATCCAACACTTTGCCTAGTTAAATAAACCATTTTACCTATCGTATCTTGGGGGTGCTTCTTGTATATCAAATACTGTTTTGTATCCTAATGATTGTTTTACCAATTATTGGTGAGAACTTGTATATATATATAATTATATATATATGCATAGTATTAATAATGATAACAATAACAGTAGTAATAAATAATCTCTGGCTGCTTTCACCATCCTCAACCCTCCAAACTGTCTCAGTTCCTCCCCGCCACACCTGCCATCCTGCGCTTCTGGCCGCTGATGCCAGAGCCGCCTCCTGCTGTGAAGTCAAACCGGCGGGGCAGCCCAGCACGCACACGGCGCGCCTGCGCTTGGTGGCTTTCAGGTGGCAACTATCATTCGGAAATTTCACCTGGAAGAGTGGGAAATTCACCCAATTTCCAGGGTAAACCATTACCCTCTGGTAATTTAAAGGAATTTTACTTTATTTACCTATTGGACATGATGATTTTCCATAGCTATTTAGTTTACCAAAGGAATTGTTTTACCAGAGGGTATGTCAGTTTATCAGGTGATAAACTATCCATCCCCCAGCCATCACCATTTTTATAGGTGGTCTGGTGCAAACCACCAGCCATGGGTGGTTTATGGCATTGTTTTACCCACATTAAACCATGATATCGTCCATTTGCTGATGGTTAAATCCCTCAAAATTCCGTGAGAATCCCATTAAACTATTATGATCCTATTGATTTGCCTATTATCCCCATGATACCCAATGATACTCCCACTATTTGTTGATGGTTCAATCCCATTAATTTCCCATTATGACCCACTGATCGATGAGCAACGCCTGGGTGCTCTGCTCTCATTCTTCGGCAGCACCGGCATCGGGTTGCGGTGCGCATCGTCCAGGATCACCAGGACGCTGTCCTTGGGGGACCTCGGCCGAAACATGTCCAAACGCTTGGGGAAATGCAACCAAAGCTGGGAAACACATGGGAAAAATCACGCAGCATATTATATGTGGATATATATATATATATGTGGATGTGTATATTACACGGGTCCATGTCTGTGAAGCCAATTTCCTGCAAAAAAAGTTCTTTTTTGGGAACTGCTTGATTGCGCTTTTGCTGCGACTCGCTGCGCAGCAATGCACAAAGCCTCAGACAAGCACCAATGGTGGCCATGAATGGGAGGAGGATGTTAGATGTCATGGTGGGGCACCTGAATCGAGGAATGTTTGGGTATGTCTTTTGTTGCGGGGTACAACCCTAGAAACTTGAAAAAATCTTGCTCAACCCATTAAATGTTAGGGTGACCCATGCGGTAATCACGCGAGGGATGTATCGATCTTTTGATGAAACGGTGGGTCTAGCAGTCTCTCTCCCTCTATCTGTTCTCAATGGCTCCCCCAAAAAATGAATCAAACCAGGATGTGCCAGGGACACTGTTTGCATATACTCTAAGAACCGACCCTTGCCGTTTTTGGCGCAAACCTGGGCCCAGTCAATCCTCATAGAGCTTCTCGGTGCAAGTGACAACAAACACTGATTCGAGTCCATTCGCTCCCATCTGCATGCGGGGCTGGTTCTTGCCTGCTCTGTTGCCAGCCTGAGCTATCCCTCAATCGCTACCACCAAATTATCGGGAAATAGGCCGCGATAGGCTTTCAGAGTGGAAGCTAGAGGGAGATGAGCTATCCACATAATAGGTGTTAGTACATAGCAACAATGGTTGCACATCCTTGCACTTCTAGTCATGCCAAACGGATCACCGGAAAACCAACCAGGAACGGGGGAGGAACCCTATCTCACTTGCCCCCTGGGGGGAACATGGAGACCAAGAACAGCCAGGAACACGAGGATGCGACGTTCTCCAAAAGCAAAATCTCAGGAACGCTGCCATTGTGAAATAATCCGCAGGGAATGGCCCGAAAACCCCTCTGGCAGTGTTACTCGTAGTCTTCAGTCCTACTAAACAGACTCGGACATGTTGGCTGCTAGTTGTGTGTTGGTACGGTACCTCTGAAAGCCAAACCTTTTTCCAGCAGTATGCGTGCAACAACGGACATCACCCGGCACTGGTTCTGCTGCCCCGAAAAGTATGAATTTCTGGCTTCACAATTGTGCCCCCCATGGTACATATATATATATATATCGATCGATATATGAAATTAATCATAAGTATTATTGCCATTATCATTGTGGTTGGTAAAAAATGTTGGAAAAATATCGGTAAATCAGATTGGGAACATTATTGGAAACAAAAGTTATAAATTCAACAGAACATAGCAAAGATATTATGCAATTCAAATAATGTGGTTAAAACAGTAGTAAACCATACCCAATTTCTTCATAAGTAGGTGAGATAAACCATTCCCCAATGGTTGGTTGATTTTGGTTTTAACCACATTAATTTCTCATTTGTTTATCATTACCAGTACTATTGTTACGATCATTATTTAGCATCATGATTCTATTGGAAAGGTATAGACCAATACGAACTTTTGTTTGTATTTTGTTTATCATTGTTGTTCCTGTTATCGTGAATTGTTCTTGGTAAATTATGATCGGGAAATTATCGGTAATTAAATCAAGCCAGATTCTTTTACGGTGATGGGAAAACATACCTTTCATCCAAACAGGATGGAACAATAACCGACCATATGTTAAACATGTGGATTAAATTTTGGCCAGAAAACATGTTGAACAGGTCTTTCGTTAGTAAAATGTTGGGACGTCATGGGAATCATATCACCTTGATGGTTCGAGTGATTGTTATCTCAATGGATTGGTTTAAGGGAAAATTTACAGGAAAGCCTCATATTCAATAGGAAAATCCATAGTTTCCTGTAGATTTTCCCTTAAACCAATCCATTGATTATCATTATGCAAATATTGTCATTGATAAATCCGATTATGAACTATCTCCAGTCATCAACCATTCAACAGGGTATGGTCAATCATAATGTTTCAACAGTCCGATTTCATATCCACCAATTGCTTGTGTTATTGGGCTCAAACCTCCTTATGGACTCATCCAGAAAGCACGGAGCTTATGTAAACCATGTGCAATTTCCGTCATTTTAACTAATACATGGTGAACTGGACACATTTGTGCCAATAGACATGGGAACATAGTTCACCGCTAAACATGGAACATATTTCAAACATTGGGATTTTGCGATGAACAAATGGAAGATACGCTGAACTTGTATAGATTTCACGAGCCATGATGGAGTATAATCTGTATCATAGTTCTCGTAGGTACTTGGATGCGCATCCCACTTGTACCCTCTGGCAATTCAACATAGCTATGGAAAGAATCACTTTATAGATGATTCATCATGATTTACCTATGAAACATGGTGATTATCCACAGCTACGTTGAATTGCCAAAGGTCAACTGGGATGTTGGGCAAATTCGGGCAAGCTCAGCCACCCCAGCGTTCTCAGAAACCTGCGGCAAGTTCGTTGCGGATGCATCCCATTAGATGCAAAGATCACTATTTGTTTGGAAGGTAAAATCAACTATCAATGGACCATTTTCATCCATTTTCCATAGAAAACTGTTAGTTGGTGGGTAGCATTTTTGTTTGTGTCTCCATCAAACTTGCCTGTGGAGTAGAACTTGAACATCACCATTTGAGCTGTTCAAAATATCACTATGCCATCTCATTGTGCTACTTGGTTGATAGGTATCCCTTTTATGGGCTGGTTCATAATCCCCAATAACCCAGGTAGTATAAATCCCTATTAAATTAGCAATCACTGAGGTACCCTCTGGTAAACTTTTACATAACTATGGAAAATCTTCATGTTTAATGGGAAAATCCACTATGTCTATGGTCATTTTCAATAGTTATTTTGACATAACCAGAGGGTATATCCCATTATCATCCCATTATTCACCATTGTTAACCATTAAATCACCATTTCCCCATGGTAAATCATAGCGTTAGTCATAACCAGAGGGTATCTTTAACGGTTCATTTGGAATGACCAACATCAGAACCTGGACCACTGGACCAGTTCCGTCACTTCTGCTTGTCGGCTGTGGGATGTGGGTGACATCCCCAATCCACATGAAAAAAACCACCCGTGACCCTCACAATGAATAGCTCCGAGTAGTACCAATACGTTCCGCCGTTTCTGAAAAGATTTTTTGTTGAATATACAGAGAATGGGAATGGGCTATTCCATATATTGAATACTGAATAATATCATATTGGTGAAATGGTAGTGCATGATGAATATTAACCACATTGACATTGACAAATATTGTTCATATCCTGTCTTGCTCGAATCGCCTTTGTTTGCGTACCCTCTGGTTATTTAACATAGCCATGGGAAATGGCCCAATTGTAGATGGTTTACCTAGCTATAAAATGGTGCTGATTTTCCATGGCTATGTCACAAATAACCAGAGGGTAATAGTATATTAAGTCTGATTATCACCATCAAATCACCATCAAATCCCTATATTTTGTTGATGAAACCATCTTTTTGCTGCGAAAAAGCTTATCCCGCTTTATGGAACCCCATTCCCCATGATGTTCCCATAGAGTCCAATGGGTTGATTAAACCCACTTGGATTTGCTTAAGGAGGAACCCCAAAACTAAGACATACCCGGCCTGGTAAGCATACAAAAAACTATTGAACATGGCCATTTATAGTGGATTTTCCCATTAAACATGGTGGATCTTTCCATAGTTATGTAAACGTTTACCAGGGGGTATTTCCTTTTTTCGATTCCCCAAGTAGTGGATTTCCCGGGAAAATACAAACATTAAGTTTTCATATTCATGAAATTCCGTACAAAATATCCCATTAAATTCCATAAAATACCGATTATGGGTAGGGGTCAAAGTTAGGCGCCAATCATCAGATGACTGAACCAGACTAAACACATCTAACTGTGGTTTTTCTGGGCCCCCGGGTCTTAAATTTTCACATGAATAATCCCCATCTTGAGCAAATCCAGCCCACAAATGGGAGTACTGAGAGATTCTGGGGTGAAACACCATTTTTGTGGGTACTTAGAGGGTCTAGGTATATATCGTATGTCATATCATCATTATATCATCTCTCATTATATCATTATATCATTCTATCATTCTATCATTCTATCATTATATCATCATATCATTATATCATTATATCAAGTTCACCATGATATACAAATATAAACAAATATATATAATTATCAATCCCCATCATCTTCAGCTCCAGCAAAATCCCCGGGAACCTGAAGGCCGCTGCTTCCAAGTGCCCATCCCTTCTCGGCGCCAGCAACGGCTGCACGCCCTCCACGACCTGGACGCCACGTTTTCCGCCACGGCCATGGGGGACCAAGACGAGATTGGAGGAAAATGTAAGAAAAATCGTGGTGTAAGATTCTCTAATGAGCAAAGATGTGGAGAAAACGTGGCTTTAATATGCTTTAATCATGTTTGATCGGCACAATTGATGATGATTTAGACAACAAAGCGGTGGATTCTGCACCCAACGTCAGGGTTACACCAACAGAAAATGGGGCTTAAGCATCCGAATGAGGATTGTTTCATAAACAGAAAATGAGGCTTAAGCAACACACAGCCAGCAACATGGGGATTTCAGAGTTGAGCAACAATATAACGAACAATTGCAACCTGAGGTATTTGGAAACAGAATAGCATATAGCTGTAACTTTGCACAGCCACACTTGGCGAAATTTTTGCAGCAAGATTTGCAATGTGCCATTGGGTACAGTTCGCGTATGGGTCAGATTCTGCAGTTCGCATGGTGATTTTCCCGGACTTCGTTGGCAGTGCTGGTTCCGGTCCAACTGCCCATACTGATTGGTTGACAAATTTCCACTGCTTTTCGGAAACAGTAGATGTTGAATGCTGCCGACATTCCCTTTTTCATTTATTGACTTGAATGACTTCAAGTTGTTCAACCTATTTGAAGTTTAAATGAAAATAACAGTGACGTTTTGAGCTTTAACCCTTAAACAACAAATACCAACAATCATAACTATAAGCATCACTGAAGGATCACCATATCCGTTGGTATTATTTGATATTCAGCAATTCATGATGATTTAGACAGCAAAGCCGTGGATTCTGGGCACCCAAAGTCAGGGTTACACCATTAGTGTTATTTGATGCTTATGATGGCTCTAATGATCTAGATTAGTCATTACACATAATACTACTACTACAAAACTAATCTGGTTGGTGATTTCAACCCCTCTGAAAAATATGAAAGTCAGTTGGGATGATGAAATTTCCAATATATGGAAAACTAAAATTCATGTTCCAAACCACCAGCCAGATGTTTTTTTAAATCTTCAGCTCCCATCTCTTCATTCGAAACCGCTGGTTGCCTCAGAACCAGTTGCCATAGCTCTCTCAGCAGAACGCCAAACCTGGCGTGGTACCATGTTCAATGGGAAAAACCATCTGAAACTGGAAGATTTTTGCCGGAAAATAGAGGATTTCCCGCCAGGTGATTCGGTTACCCTCTGGTAAACGTACAAAAAAAGTATGGAAAATCACCAATTTTCATGGATAAATCAACTACAAATGTCAATTTTCAATAGCTATGTTTGTTTACCAGAGGCTATTCTACTAAAGGATTCAAGTTCATCCCGGATCTAAAATACCCTTCCTTGGAAGATCATCGTAAGTGGATACCCAACAATGGTGATCGTAAGTCAACTGGGAATTCACAATTCATACTGCCAGGGTTCAAAGGGGCAAAACTGTCAAGCAAAACGTGTTTGAAACTGGTTTTCAAGGACCAACTACTATTTACCCTCTGGTAAACTAACATAACTATAGAAAATCACCATTATTAATGGGAAAATCCACTATAAATGGCCATTTTCAATAGCTATGTTAAATTACCAGAGGGTACTATTTACCCAACTCTATTCAATGAATTGCTTTCCAATGTATGGATGTAACCGCTTAAACACCTGCATGCAACTGCGGGTAATCGCACACAAATTCAATTTCACTGAGCAATGCAACTTTACCAATATCCCCCTATTTTTCTTGGTTGAATCAATGTGTTATATATGTTATATAAATGCATGGTGGTTTGAACCCCTCTGAAAAATACGATTTCGTCAGTTGGGAAGGATGACATCTCATATATGAAATGGAAAACATAGAATTCATGTTCCAGTCACCACCAGCCAGCTATAGTGTTATTCCAATTATTAACCATTATTAACCATAGATTAACCATAGATATTCCCAGTCATGGCTGGTTATTAACCATTATTAACCATTATTAACCATTATTATATAGTCATAGTTTTTCCAAGGATTTTGGCATGTTTTTCCTCAAATCTCCACAGATTCCCAGGATCTCCGCCTTGGTCAACAGCGAGGTCTCCTCCAGCGCAGCAACGGAGGCCACCAGCGCGTCCTCGGATGAGTGTCCCACCGAACATCCACCGGAGGGGAAGCAGATTCATAGGTAGCCGGCCTGGTAAACGTTTACAAAAAGCTATTGAAAATGGTCATTTATAGTTGATTTACCAATTAAACATGGTGATTTTCCATAGTTATGTAAACGTTTACCTGAGGGCAACTCCCAATTTTTGGACGCAGAAAAATGCAGAAAATCTCTTCAAGTTCTCACTGTTTTTTCGGGTTGGGTGTGATTGGATGTTTCTTTTGCACCTTTTTGGGGGATTGCTATCATACGTGATTGTCACAGTATCCATTGTATTCCGGGTATTTTTGCTTAAAAATCCCAGCATCAACAAATATGTGCCAAAAATCTTTGAAAAAACCATGATTACGCTGGTCCAAACTCAATTCTCAGGGGTTCAAATTTTAATTTTGTAAAATATTTATTTTATATCAGCATTTCACCCAATCAGACCATGTTGGACCTATGTTAAATCCAACTTTTGGTCAACTCCCCAAGCTCCGCTGGTTGAGGCTGCGATCCAAGGCTCAGCGTGTAGCAGCCAACAGCTCCAGTCTTCACTAAAGAGCACAGCACACGCCCTGGGCATCGTGGGTTACAACCATCTGAAACACCGAAACACCAGGGTTTTGTATGGAATATCCTGTCTGATATCCATGGAATATCCCTGGTATTCCCTGGTTATGTATGGAATCTCCCCAATTCTAAATCCTCGCTATATCTATGATTATCCCGAGTCAGATGGGTTATAAAACTCTTAATGTTTCTGCGATGCAAGTTTCTCCACTGACAACATGAGGAGTTCAGCCAAGAAAAGTGTGAGTTTATCTTAAAAGAGGGTAAGCCCACGTCCAATGGATTATCACCACTTTTCCCAAAGAAAAACTGGTGCTTTTGTGGTCCCAGTTTTGGACAAACACAGTTTAAGGGATTTTGCCACTCAATAAACACCGGAAAAATCCGACATTTTGAACAAACAATGAAGTGACAAATCGATGGTGATGAGGATTTCACCCCTCATGATTCTTTCATTCCTGGATCGACACGTGCGAGCACTCATGCGCTACACTTAAAGATGAAGCCCCACAAGGTGGTGCCCCATAGTTAGCTAAGTTGGTTTATAACTCCCATAACTATGGTTTATGGTAGATATAACTATAGTTAATGGGGTTTATAAACCAACTTATAACTGGGGGGCACCATCCTGCAGCACGGCGAACAATATGAACAATGGTTTTGCTGCTTCTCTGCAACTTCACAACATTTCACAACCAAGGGTTCCTTGCTCACTTCAATGCGGTCAAGATTGCTGTACCCCAGTGCAATGTTTGCACATCCTTGTCTTCGACCGACTCAACGAGCTTCGCTCTCGTAACCGTAGTGCTTTGCAGTACGTTTTCTGACAAACTCATATCCAGTGGTCTATGGGCTAGTAAGAAGTCACTTATTGGGATACCCGTTTGAGTACCTGCAACAACCGTTCCAACCAATGATTTCTTTGGTGCTGCTACATCCACGACGAAACCTACGAATCAAGACAGCTTTGGCGTGAAATCTCCGAAATTCATTAGATGTTAAGTTGTGATCCGCTGCAAGAAACATGTGGGTCACATGTGGTCCTTATTTACCCTTGTTTATCCTTGTTTATCCTTGTTTCTGGTGCAAACGAAAAAACATCATCATCATGTCGCAAAGACAAAAACCGAATGTCACATTTATGGCTTTGGAATTTGCTTTTACATTTGTCAAAGATGATTTTCCATAAGGAATTGATCATTTTGTCAGTGGCCATGCAACAGGATCCGATTCATTGCAGGTACCTACCATAGAAAAAAGGCCTATTTTTCAGGCCCATGTAAGGGAATATCTCCACAAAATATGGCCTGAAAAATGGTACTAATGTACCTCCATTTTAGGATCCTGGAATTCCCATTGATTTTGGGTGGACTTCCCACCTGTCAGAGTATGCAGTGCTACCATCTTGCCACAAGCAACCTGCCACGGATGTGTCGTGGTGGGCCACCCCTTGTGAAGTCACGGCGCAAAATTCAGTTGGTCGCTATCTTGGTGGTTCGTTGATCCCTTTTAGATTTTAGAAGGCCTATCTAATTGATCCAGAAAAGGCAAAAAACATCCTTTGAATCAGACATTGAATGTTCATGAACTGGATCTTCAACTAAAGTTACCATCTGGTTATGACTAACACTTTGCCATGGAAAATCCACCCATTTTATAGCTAGGTAACCCATCTATTTCTATGGGCCATCTATACCATGGCTATGTTAGTCATAACCAAAGGGTAAGATCGCAGGAGATCACCCGACAAGATCGGGACATGGGGTGCCCATGGAAAATCCTGTTCGATTTTAAAGGACCTGGTTGGTGGTATACCTACCCCTCTGAAAAATATGAGTTCGTCAGTTGGGATTACTATTCGGAAAAAACATGTTCCAAAGCACCAACCAGGGACATGTTTGAGCATCGAAATTTGCTAAACATGATGCCCTTGTCCAGCTGCTTTCAGATGTGAGATTAAGGCAGAATGCCAGATTTTGCATACGTAAAAATATCGAGAACATGATGGGAACCAGAAAAACTGTACCATCTGGTTATTTAACATAGCCATGGAAAATCACCATGTTTAAGTTCGGTAAACCATATATTTTCAATGGGCCATCTATACCATGGCTATGTTAGTCACAACCAGAGGGTAAATGATCAGGCTACATCTTGGGAAGGTATCCTCATGGATGATAAAAACCACGGCTGGCTATGAATATCTATGTTTTTTTTGTCGTGTTTGTTGTTTCTGTTGAAGATATCTTAGTCATACTCACCAATTTTCTACTTGTTCTTGGTTGTACTCAATTTGAAATCAGTTACATGTTTAAACATGCTATTGGGTGCATTCCATTGCTTGGACTTTCGCGCCAAAGGGCTTAAAACGACCAGAGTTCAGTAGGGAAATCGGAAATCGTCCTCTGCAAAAATCTTCGGGGCCAGGTATGAATTGTTTCCAAGTGAAAATGCTATCCTATGGTAAATAAACATAGGCCCTGGAAATCACCAATTTGTAATGGAAACTAATCGTCCAACCCCTATCTGCCAGGGTCTATGTTAATTTACTGGAAGATAACCATTGGAAGATGCACCCAGCTCACTGCTGCGGAGCCTATGATGGAACGCACCAGAGAATCACGACGATTCCTTGGCAGAACGTCACCATGAGGTTTTAACCAACAGAACAAAAATGTAGCTTTAACCAACAAACATAGGAACTTCACAAGAATTAAAAAATAACCACCCAAACCTTAACATACACCCGGGCAAGCCGGCGGCGGAAGTTTCCCAAACATAAATGACCTATAGTTCAAAGACAACCTGTCCCGACCGTGTCCTTCCCTCGACGCTCCACACCTCACACTGCACTCTGCACTCTTCGCACTCCAAACTTCAAACTTCACACTCCACACTTCACACTTCACACTCCACACTTCTCACGTCTCACTGCTTCCTTCACACTCCAAACCTCACACTTCACACTTCACACTGCGCTCTTCGCACTCCAAACTTAAACTTCACACTTCACACTTCACAGTCCACACTTCACACTTCTCACTGCTTCCTTCACACTCCAAACCTCACACTTCACACTTCACACTTCACACTGCGCTCTTCGCACTCCAAACTGAAACTTCACACTCCACACTTCACACTCCACACTTCACACTTCACACTTCTCACTTCTCACTGCTTCCTTTACACTCCAAACCTCACACTTCACACTTCACACTGCGCTCTTCGCACTCCAAACTAAAACTTCACACTCCACACTTCACACTTCACACTTCACAGTCCACACTTCACACTTCTCACTTCCCACTGCTTCCTTCACACTCCAAATCTCACACTTCACACTTCACACTGCGCGCTTCGCACTCCAAACTTCACACTCCACACTTCACACTTCACACTCCACACTTCACACTTCTCACTTCCCACTGCTTCCTTCACACTTCACACTTCACACTGCACTCTTTACGCCCCACACTTCCCACTGCTCTAAACCTACGTGCAACAAAAAAACACTAGTTCCAAAATGGAGAAAATCTGCTGACAAATCACTGTCGCAGCCTTCATGCAGCCACTCCAAGACGATTTCCGAGATCCAGCTGCAAAAGACAATAGTATTACGAGTGCAGCCACAGCACGAAGCAACCTTGACGCAGCCATTACAATGCGATCTGCAGAGACTGAGTTGCAAAACACAATAGAACTACGCGCAACGGCGTCAGAAATTGTAGCTCCAAAACCGGATCTCGACGCCAGAGCGAAAAAAAAGACGATTTTGAAGCACTTTTTAAAAGGATTTTTAGAAGGAAAATCACTAGCGCCAAAATGGAGAAAATCTGCTGACAAATCACTGTCGCAGCCTTCATGCAGCCACTCCAAGACGATTTCCGAGATCCAGCTGCAAAAGACAATAGTATTACGAATGCAGCCACAGCACGAAGCGACCTTGACGCAGCCATTACAATGCGATCTGCAGAGACTGAGTTGCAAAACACAAAAGAACTACGCGCAACGGCGTCAGAAATTGTAGCTCCAAAACCGGATGGATCTCGACGCCAGAGCGAAAAAAAGACGATTTTGAAGCACTTTTTAAAAGGATTTTTAGAAGGAAAATCACTAGCGCCAAAATGGAGAAAATCTGCTGACAAAATCACTGTGGCAGCCTTCATGCAGCCACTCCTGTACGATTGACGAGATCCAGCTGCAAAAGACAATAGTATTACCAATGCAGCCACAGCACGAAGCAACCTTGACACAGCCATTTACACTGCGGGAACGATCCTACAGTTGCAAAGCACAATGGAATTCCATCGGCAACTCATCCACCAGCAACACTTGCAATCCCATTTACATTGCGGGAACGATCCTAGAGTTGCAAATCACAATGGAATTCCATCGGCAACTCATCCACCAGCACCACTTGCAATCCCATTTACATTGCGGGAACGATCCTACAGTTGCAAATCACAATGAAATTCTGTCGACCGCACATGGACGAAACACAGGTGAAACCCCATTTACAATGCAGAACCGATCCGAGACCGATCCGACCATGATCCGACCACACACGGGACCGTCTCGCACCCGTCGCACCGCAGAGGTAGATCATCGAGGTTCGGGGACGGACTTTGTATGGAAAAACATAGGGTTTCGTGCATCTGCTATCTCTCAAAAACGCATTTCGTGCGAGACTTCCTTCAAAACTCCATCGGTAACTCCTCCACCAGCACCACTTGCAATGCCATTCCAATTAACTCTAACTCTTTCCCTGACAGTCTAAAAGTTACAATTAACTCTGTCCCTAACTAACTCTTTCCCTCACTAACTCTTCCTTTGACTAACTCTTTCCTGACAGTCTAACTCTTTCTTTGACTAAATCTTTCCCTGATGAACTCTGTCCCTAACTAACTCGTTCCCTCACTAACTCTTTCTTTGACTAACTCTTTCCCTGATGAACTCTTTCCCTAACTAACTTTTTCCCTCACTAACTCTTTCTTTGACTATCTCTTTCCCTGATGAACTCTTTCCCTAACTAACTTTTTCCCTCACTAAGTCTTTCTTTGACTATCTCTTTCCCTGATGAACTCTTTCCCTAACTAACCTTTCCCTGACTAACTCTTTCTTTGACTAACTCTTTCCCTGACATTCTAAAAGTCCGTAGCACGGAAGTTTCTCCCCCTAAACTTCCTTTGACAATCATCAATATATTTGCATATGTATATATCAATATGTTCAACCGTCACTCACCAACACGAACAATAAAGCAAACCCATTTGTAGTAAATTATAGTGATTCACTAACCTCAAAAAGTTCGGCTACATTGGGATAATTCCCCTTGCTAACCGCCACTAGAGTGACGTCACGACGTGAGGTTAATTCATCCAGATTACCAACATTTACCAACATTAACTACAGCCATTTATCAGGAACCAACATTAACAATCAAGTAAGCCCATTTGTCTGAGCAAATTATAGTAATATTACCCACAGACGCCGTGTGTTGCCCAGACATTAACATTGAGAATGTCATGCTGTCGAATATATGATAGGAGAGATTGCAGAAAATACTGCGCATATGCAGTGTTTTCCAGTTTAGGATTCGAAGTTTTCAGAACCTAGGTTTTAGGGTTTAGGGTTTTAGGGTTTGGGGTTTTAGGGTTTGGGGTTTTGGGGTTTAGGATGGTTTAGGGTTTTAGGGTTTAGGGTTCGTCGTCCGGGAAATCTCAAAACACTGGCTTGAAGGATAATGTTTAAACATGTTTAAACGGCATTTGAACCTTCCGGGCAACACACAGAGCCTGGCCGTAATATTGCGTTAACATGAACACATTCATCTGAGCATATCAATATCACTAAGCCATTATTAACCCATTATCATTATACCATGGAATATTAACCCATCACCACGATAAATATCATAAACACTATATATCTTGTCATGTTATGTTATATCATCATCACAGTAAAGCAAGGTCATAAACGGTTCATACCCATTGTATCAGTATCATTATACATCATAATCATCAAATAAGTATCATTATTATTATTATAAACAAACCATTCTTGTGGATGGGTCAAACCTATTATTCCCATATTTGGGGGGATAATATATGATAAACATCTAGAAAGAACTGCATTTTTTAGGGTACCATAAAAGGGTACCAGGGTTTTGACCCATACCCAGCCATATTTTACCCTCTGGTAAACTAACAGTTTGCTATTGAAAATGGCCATTGAAATAGTGAGTTTTCCCATTAAAAATTGTGATTTTCCATAGTTATGTTAAATAACCAGAGGGTAAGTGCCATTAAATCCCATTAAATTCCATTAAACCACCATTTTCCTATGGTTTTCCTATGGTTTACCAGAGGGTATCATATGTTCACCATCACTGTCACCATGGACACTCCGAGACTCCGCCAGGTGAAGGCTGTCCTCCAGCAACCCTTTGGGGTTTTCCCCCGTGCCACACGGTCGCTGCTGGGACATCCTGCGATGGAAACGACGCGGATGTTGCAGATCCAGAAAATTCCTGAGATTCCAGTCTTGTAGAAAGAGATTCTGTATGATCCAATTTATATATAGATATGTATATATATATATATATTATGTTAGAATATTACAATATCATATATATAAATATATTATTATATATATAATTATATATATATATATTGTATTAAGTATATATATATATATATAGTCTGAATAAATAGCTCTGAGTAAGACATATATATTGGTTAGATCTTCGACACACATCATATGGCGAAGCCATAATCATAACCCAAAAAGAATGCACAACAAACTAGCAACCTACCCGGGCCTACCCAAGCAAGCAAGATCAAGAACATGCTAGATTCTCCAACAACACCAGCCAAAAAAAATATAAAGACACGGGATTAACCCACGCCATTTGCGGAGAATACGGTAGATTGTGAAGGTATCACATTGTTTTGGACTTCATGATATCCTGTGATCCCAGCATTGCTGAATCCCAGCATTGCTGGTGAAAACCCCCATCACTTTTACGAAAATCTCTCAGGGGTCTCCTTTGGCCACCAGCAAAAAGATGAGGCTGGCATCTGTCACAGTGGCCTTGCGATCCAGGAGCTGGACAATCTTCAATCGATTGGGCCTGTTTTGGGGGATCGGTTCAAGAAAGTACGTATCCTCAGATCCTGGAATTGGTTGAGGAACATCTACAGGAAACCATTGGTAATTTAACATCACTATGGAAAATCATCATTTTTAATGGGAAAATCCACTATGTCTATGGTCATGTTCAATAGTTTTTTGTTAAATTACCAGAGGGTATGTTGATTGCAGAAACCTGCAGGTTTCCCGCAAAAACTCTTCTTTCAAAGTTTCAAAGTAAAAACTCTTACATTACACTACACTACACTGCCTTCAACTACACTTCACTACATTACACTACACTACACTCCACTACACTACATTACACTACACTACCTTCCACTACACTTCACTACATTACACTACACTCCACTACACTACAACTACAACGACACAACTACACAACTACATTCCACTACGCTCCACTACACTAAATTACGCTACACTAGACTACATTATCCAGTACACTACATTACACTACACTACACTCCACTCCACTATACTACATTACACTACACTCTACTACAACTACAACTACAACTACACAACTACAGTCCACTACACTAAATTACACTACACTACACTACATTACACTACACAACAGTCAGCAAAGTAAACCGCGCGATTGGGCAGCCAAGTGTCTCGTCTGGCTTTGCACTCAGAGAGGCCACGTACTGACACTTGCGCATGTTGAGCCAAGCTCCACGGAGAACGTCGGTGTGGAAGAACTCGACCTTCTGTCGGTGGTACTTCGTGAAGTGATCATGCTTCGCAGAAGCTGCCACCCATTTCTCCACCGCTTCACTCACAGCTGTGTACATGTCCAAGGCATAGCCGTCAAGGCACTGCTTGGCTGGCTGATCGCTGCCCAATCTCTCAA